GATAATGATTCATCTTCATCATCAAATAAGAAAAAAACAAATGCAACGTCAATTAAACGTATTATCATTTTTACTACAAAATCCTATGACAAAAAACTTTTCGTTTACTAGTTAAAACTTCATAGTATCGATAGAAATAAACCACAAGTCTTTGATTATAGACTTCTATTTACAACTATTTTACTAAGATTTTAGTCTAGTTAAATTAGGTCCGAGTTATAAACAGTTTTATATATAAGAACTGCTTCAATAGAAATCCGTCCATAACCATTCTTCTCAGTTCATTAATAAGAATCTGAACCACTTCTCTCCCCAGAGTAGAAACTCCAGGACTCCTGTTTTCTCCAGACAATTTTACTTTTACAAGCAAAGCTTTTGTAGATGCTATTAAATTAATCTTTGTCAGATGCTATATGCGTATGAAAAATGTTTCTCCCGATGTTAAACACTCATGATTAAAAATAATCTCTAGAAATCATTTTCATTTTTCGTCAACATCTGTCACTATGTATTCTATAATCACTGCTTTTGTCTGGAAACAAATATTTGAACATCATTATAGATTAACAAACTTATATTTCTTCTGCTCTTAGAAGCCTCGAAAGCTTCTATTGGAACAAGCGATTTACAAATAAATACGAATCTTAACATCAATTTACTCCTCAATTCGATATTGAAACACATCCAAAATCGTAGTTTAGATACTAATATATATTTTAAAACTTCACTTTACTTTGATATTCAATAGATACACAAACATTTGTTTTAGCTAAAATTTATTGATTTACTTCATAGAAATAAAATAATCTTAATTTTGAAAGGAAAATCTACGTAGCTTTGAAAATTTCTAGTCTTATTAAGACCTACTTTCTATAGATGACATATCGATTCTTTATAATATTGTACCAAATGTGTTTCTTCTCAAAACACATAAATATATCAAAATTCTTATTAAACACATATGAATTATTGTTTATTTTAGTCAGTTCGAAACGGCCTCGTCATCATAAATCAAAATCATCTAAAAATAATCAAACAATAAAACGATCACGTATTCATCGTCATTCTCAATCGAATAATTCATCAATTACATTAATTCAATCATCTAAAATAATAAATTCAAAAGAAGATTCTTTTTCTGATTTTTTCGATATTGATACAACATTTTTCGATACATATGATCGATTATTTTCTGATACAATAACAACATCAGAAAAGTATAATAAAAAAATAAATAAATTTTCCATATATGATCCTTTTTTTTTCTTTTGATATAGATCTTTATAATTGAAATACATTCACATCGACTAGTGTCATCTATCTATGTAATTTAATTAATAAAAAAAAATCTATTCTTGAAATTATTTTTTTATTATATGATTTTTTTCTTTTAATAAAAATTTAAAAAAAGAACTTTTGAAAATAATTTTCTTTTTTTTTATACTTGTTTATGATATTTATTCTATATATCTAAATACCTGTGTATTTGTCATTCGAGAGGTGCAGATTCGTTTACTCAACATGGCCGATACCTGTACAATAAGCATGTATTGATCGTTGACGAGCAAGATGATGATGAAGAAGTAGAGAAAATAAATAATATATTTTACATTCTTCGTCTAGGTCACTTTATCAATAAGTATTCATCAAGCACATAAATATATATATATATATTTATATTTATATTCATATTTAATCGATTAGTATCGTAGACATATTTAAAATTGCTCTTTTTCTTTCCTTCTTCTTCTTATTTTAACTTTAGATTATGAGATTTTTTTGTCAAATGGGATAACTATATATCGACTAGGCATAACTCCCTTTTGATATTGAATATCCATGACTTGGTGAACAGTGCATATCAATCAACGCTCTAGTAACAAAAAGAAGAAGAAGAAGAAGACAAAAAAAGCCTCATTGCAATAGTAGAAGTTATTATAACAAGGATAGTACATATTGGATAAGAATATGTCAACACCTAACCAATATCCTAAAACGAATATTGTCAAACTCAATCCACCTTCAACATCAACAGCGATGAGAGATAACAATAGTGCTGATGGAGTAAGTTTGTATCTTTTTTTTTTTTAAGAAATAAATATAATTGCATGATTAAGTATTTTTATTCAAAAAAAAAAAAAAAAGAGAGAATGTCACTCTAAAATTGATTGATTGAATGAGTTCATCAATTATTTTTTGTCGATGATAATGTTGTTAGCTCTTCTTTTTCTCTTTCCACATGATGTAACATCTTGTGATTAGCCATTATTATTCTTTTTCTTTTACATATATATATATATATATATATGCAAAACGTACAAAACCATACATAATATATTGGACAAATCAATAACTATGTGTCACCATATATTAGAGTTTCTTTTTCTTTAATTTGAGTAATTATCTTCTACTCAAGTATTGAATCATATATTTGTCACCAATAGTTCCTATTTGATTACTTTGAACAGTTCAGTTGATATGATGCCATTCAAATATATATAAGCAAACCTTTCATTCCCTGTTTATGTCTTTTTGTCTGACCGTTTAAGTGTTTCATATATGTGTATATATAAGTAGAAAGAGTATGACAAAAAAAAAACCTGATATAGAAAGAACGTGTGCAGGAGGAGAGAAAAAAAACGATTGACTACACCTACTCCAAATGGTGATGTGTCTATAAGAGTATGTATGTTCGTCAAGCCTATTATTCACATTTGACAAAAGGAAAAAAAAAAGAAAGACTTGTATTATTAGTTCGTTCGTTTTGTTGATACACGCGAAAAACGTCAAATATCAGGAAATACTTTCTTTCTCGTTCTATTCTTTTTTTGTATTCTGTTATTACATCGAAAAATGTCGACGACGATGACGACGCGATATTAGAGAAGAAAGAAGAAAAACGATGAATACAACAACAACAAAAAAAAAAAAAAATAGCAAAGCATATGACAGCAAGCTATATTCGGAAGAACATGAGTGACCCTTTACATTTGGGATAGACATGCTAATTATGATAATAGTCTAATGTCAAATATGTGAAACCTTGGAATTTTTTTTCCTTTTGTTTGATTTTAGAAATCCAATAACAATAACGATCATCATCAAAATAATAATAATAATAATACGACGTCATCAACTGGACCAACATCGTCTATATCTGCCACACGTTTACAGTCAAGTAAAATGCGTAGCGATCCTAATGAACCACATATTGGCAAATATCGCTTTAGCAAGGTTAATAATCTTATTTATTGTTTATTATTTATTATGTAAATATAAATATAAATCATATATATATATTTATAATCTAGACCATAGGTAAAGGTAATTTTGCTAAAGTTAAATTAGCTCGACATATTCCAACTGGTCGTGAAGTTGCTATAAAAATTATTGATAAAGCTCAACTTAATCCAACATCATTACAAAAGGTTTGTATAAATTACAAAAGAAAAAAAGAATTTTTTTTTAATTTTGTTTTATTATCAGTTATTTCGTGAAGTTAAAATAATGAAAGGACTCGATCATCCAAATATTGGTATTTATACATAAAAAGAAAAAATAAAAAACAATGATAAATTTTTCTGTTTTTGTTTGTTTTTTTAGTTAAACTTTTTGAAGTAATTGAAACCGAAAAAACTCTTTATCTTGTTATGGAATATGCAAGTGGAGGTAAAAATATTTGATATAATCAATAAATCTTTTTCTATAATTCGTATTCTTTTAGGTGAAGTATTTGATTATCTTGTTGCTCATGGTCGTATGAAAGAAAAAGAAGCAAGATCAAAATTTCGACAAGTATGTTTCTTTTTCAAATGAATAATTCTTTATAAAAAAAAACAAAACAAAACAAGTTGCTAGAGTATTACTAATAATTACGATGTAGATTTTTTGTAAGATGTTATTCATCCGGAATGAATGCAGGAAATCACTTATCTTTAGTATTATTTAATACTAAGATTTATTTATAGATTGTTTCTGCTGTTCAATATCTTCATCAAAAACATATTGTTCATCGTGATCTTAAAGTAAACACAAAAATAATTCATCTTGTTTTTTTATATGAATAATAATAATCAATTTTTAGGCTGAAAATTTATTACTTGATGCAGAATTAAATATAAAAATAGCTGATTTTGGTTTTAGTAATGAATTTACACCAGGAAGTAAATTAGATACATTTTGTGGTAGTCCACCATATGCTGCACCAGAATTATTTCAAGGAAAAAAATATGATGGACCTGAAGTTGATGTTTGGAGTTTAGGTGTTATTTTATATACACTTGTTAGTGGTTCATTACCATTTGATGGACAAAATCTCAAAGTAAAATTTTATTTTATTTTTTTGTAAAGCTAAATTAAATATTTTCTAGGAATTACGTGAACGTGTTTTACGTGGTAAATATCGAATACCATTTTATATGTCAACTGATTGTGAAAATTTATTAAAAAAATTTCTTGTTTTAAATCCAACACGACGTTCTGCTCTCGAAGTAAATTTAGAAAGTGCAAAAATTTATATTTAAAATTTTTTTTTTTTTTGCTTAGATAATTATGAAAGATAAATGGATAAATATTAATTATGAGAATGATGAATTAAAACCATATGAAGAACCAAGTCAAGATTTTAATGATAATTATCGAATTGGTATATAGAATATTTCGTATCTCTTTGTTTTCTATCCAGAGTTATAGGATTGATCAATTGAAAATATTCTGTTGTAAATACATTTTGACATCCAAAAATTATAATAATTTAGAAATGTCTTTTCTGTTTTTCCGGTCTAGTAAAAAAAGATATTCATCTTGAGCAGTATAAAAATAGCATCATAGAGAAACAGGAACTATTATAGTTTCAATGTCTCATAGAAGACAATTTTTGTATCCTACACTCTTAATTAAGAAAGAGAAAAGAAAATGAAAATTTTGTTTTGTTTTTTTAGAAACAATTTTACGAGATGGTAGTTATTCTCGAGAACAAATAATTGATTCAATAACATCTCGTAAATATGATGATATAATGGCATTTTATCTTCTTCTTGGTCTTCGAGCAACTGAAGTAAAATAAAAACAAAAAATTTCTATTGAATATACACAAAGAAACTTTTTTTTGTTTTTTTCGTTTAGTCTGATGTATCAGAAAATCTATCTATTCAAACATCAAATACTAAAAGTGTTACAGATACTTCAAATATTCAATCTTCATTAGCATCAAAAATTGTATCATCAAGTACACGACCATCAACAGCAAATGATAAAGAAAATCTTCCATCTATTGATAAAACACATCGACCATCAACAGCAATAGCAACAACAACAACACCTATAACTAATGATCATTCATTAGTTAATGGTACAACAATAAATGGTGTTCCAAATTCTTTACTTCCATCTGGAAGTATTGATACATCATCATCAAATAATAATGCATCTATTATAACAAAAACTAATATAAATAGTGGACAAATACTATCAAATGTTATTCCAAATCGTGCAAATACAACAACAGAAAAATTTCGTGCACAAACTGTTCGTTTACCAAATGCAAATGTTCGTCGAAGAGATACATTTGAACCTGGATCAAATGATACTGGATCTATAAAAAAAGTCGAACCAATTAATAATAATGACAAAACAAAACCTGTAAATTCAGGAGAACCGTATGTATTTAAATTAATTTTTGTTTTGTATATTTGTTGTTATGTGTGCTTTGCTTATATTAGTATAATTAATGAAAATCGTATGCCTCGTTTTGCTCCAAGGTTTGTGTTAGTAATATCGTTTGAATACAAAAAATAAGAAGAATAGTCTATTTTCTAGTTTTAATCGTACTGCTATTGAACCGTCATCATCTCAAGCACCACATCATATTACACGTGGACCATTACGTGAAACATATAATCCAAAATCTGCAAGTTTATCTGCAACTAGTTCATCATCAACACAACAACAGCCACCAACATCAAAAATTCCAGAAAAACTTAAGTATGTATTTGTTTTTTTTTTTAATTTTATTTAGAAAAAAAATAAAATACCAAGAACTATTTATCCCTATCGTTCATTATAATTAAATATCAGATCTAGAAAAACATCAGCTGTTGCATCATCATCATCGACTACTAATGAGTCTAGTGAATTGATTCGAATGTATTCGAATCAACATCAACCATATAATTTCAAGTAAGAATATTTTTTATTGTTCGATGAAATTATTATCAATTATTCATTATTTCATCGATATAAGCTTAATTATTGAGAACAAAAAAACAAAAACAAATTTTTCCTTGTTGTATCATCACACATCTTTTACGCACTTAAAATACTCAATAATGCAATCTTTTTTTTTTTTTTTTAAAGACTAACCTGCTTTTTACTTATTGATTGGTTTTCTTTTTCTTTTATCTGTTAATTTGCTCTTTATATAATCTTTCTATCTATATCTTATTGTAGTGCTATGACAGTACAAGCTTCAACTACTACAACCAACACACAACTTGCATCTACGACTAACACACGTGCTGGTAGTGGTAATGATGGTGTATCATTGAATCGCTCTGCACCTGATCGTAAAACTATACATAATATTCCTACACGTCAACATTATCCAACAACAAATACATCAGCAACTACTGGTGGATTTAATACTGAACATCGAGCATCAACACGAAATCCGCATAGTAGTACAATGGCTAATACTGATACAAATAATCGTTATCAACATGGAGCAATGATGTCGAGTACAACAAACAGTGGAGCTCAATCATTTCTAAGCAAGCTTTCATCTAAATTTGCACGAAGGTAACAAAAAAAATACTAATCATAATTTGCATGTAATAGTAAAAAAACGCTATTAGCACAATTCCTACGGAATTTAAATGTGAAACATGATTTAATTGTTAATCACAGGAAAATTCCTTTATTCTATGTATTTTTGGATACATTTCTTCACCATTATTTTACTTAATCCTATAGAAATACAATATGTTATTAATATACGATCTGTGAATGACTTGTAAGGATAAACGACCAGTCCGGTAGAAGATTCCTTACCGATCGGTACACACTATGTCGGTCGGTAGAGATTTTTGCATGTGTTTTCTCTTTTTCGCAAATCAAATCATTTTTATTGATGTTAATGACTTTTTCTATTAAATGAATATTCATTAAAAATACGCTTAATAGATTTTGTAAAGTCCATCAAGTCCAGAAATTTTTGGATTTGATGGGCTCTACAAATCACACATTCTGTCAGTAGGTTAAAAAACTCATTGCAGTTTTTGAGAGGAGCAAGATGGATTCGATTTTCTCGCTATCATTAAGTAGTATTGTAATAGTGAGACAAGGGCGTTGTATCATGTTCTCAAGTGATTCAGAGATAGATATGATATGACTAATCGAGAACGGTTATAAAACAAAAAAAAAGTGTAAAATGACTAATGTCGACCTGACCGAGTAAGGACAAATACTCTATCAATTGTAACGCTGGTCTGTGAGTAGTCGGAACTTGGATCTCCTTTTTTTGCTCCTATACTTCAACATTAATTTCACAAAACAAAATAAATATATCTTAATTTTCTCTTTTTATATTCGGATTTTCAATGTCTTTATGGTTATAATTTTTTTGTTTTTATTATCTAGAAAATCAATTCGTGAACCAGCTACACCAACGACAGCATCTGGAGGTACTATTGGAAGTAGTATGACTGGTAGTACAGCAAGTGCATCATCATCTTATCGTCGTCCAGCAGATTTAAATAATACGAGTATGACAACAAGTACAGCAGGAAATACAACAAATGATAATCTAGCTGTTGGTGGTGGTGGTGGTGGTGTAGGAGATATAAAACCACGTTCACTTCGTTTTACATGGTCAATGAAAACAACAAGTTCAATGGATCCAGCTGATATGATGAAAGAAATTCGAAAAGTACAAAGAAAAAAAAACTTTTGTTTTTTTGTTTTAATAATAAAAATCAATTTCTTTAGGTTCTCGATATAAATAATTGTGATTATGAACAAAGAGAAAAATTTCTTTTATTATGTGTACATGGTGATCCAAATACAGATTCAGTTGTATCATGGGAAATGGAAGTATGCAAATTACCACGTCTATCATTGAATGGTGTTCGATTTAAACGTATATCAGGCACATCAATTGGTTTTAAAAATATTGCGAGTAAAATCGCCAATGAACTCAAATTGTGATTTATTTCTTTTCTTTTTTTTTTCCTGTGTTCCTTATGTATGTTTGTTCATTGTCCTAGCCTCTTTTTTTTTAGTGATTGTATCTCGCATGAATCTGTCTATCTTCTTTTTTTTTTTTTTCGTCCCCCATAAATGAATCAAATAACTAAACACACATAGTATAAGTGTGTTTGTACGTGTTGTAGATGTAAGTCACAAACTAGGATCTCTCTCTCTCTCGATTCTTTCTCTGCTGTGCTGCTGCTCATGCCTGAAAGGCATTTATTTTCTTTGTTCTTTTGTATGAGTGAGTAACGTATGAAATTCATCCATGAGAATCGGCTCTTATAAATAATTTTTTTTGTCTCTGTGCACACATGTAGATCATAGACTATGATGAAATTCTTTTCTTTTCTTTTTCTTTTTTTTTCTTTCGGAAATACGGATGAACAAGAGATCGTCGTTGCTTTTTGCACAGACACACACATATATATACATAAAACAATTAGATATTTCATTGAGATTATTTGTGCGTAATTTATTCTTGACTTGACACGACTTATATAGCCTGAAAAAAACATAACAGTGTGTTCGATTTGTATATCATGTGTGTTTTCATTAACATAAGTGAAAAGAAAATTTTTCTTTTTCTCTCTCTCTCTCTGTTTGCATGTCTGTGTCTTTGTTTTCTGGTCTCTCTTGCACATTCTATACTCATTTTTGTCTTGTTTTTTTTTGTGGTTGCGCGATATTTCTTCTTATACTAAAAAAATTATACATCATAATTTTACCATCACATTCATGCACACTTAAAACACATGTAATTTTTGTTGTGCATGTATTGGTTTTTTTTGTGGTCTATTTCTCTGATATATTCTGGCTTTCCCTACGCCTACCTCTCATTCTTTTCTTTCGAAGTATGTTCGATTTCACGGTGTGCTCTTTTGGTGTTATCGTTCATATCTTGCTATATAATCTATTTCACTCTCTCTTTTTTTTTTGCTGTGTGCGAGCGCGCTGTCTGGAAAGAATATACATAAATAACATATTGCATTCTCAATGAATGTATAACAAAGATGATTTCAATGTAATAAAAAAAAAACCAAAAGGAAACTTATATATGAAAAAAAGAATTATAAGCAGATGAATGATTCATGGTTTAAAGGAAGAATAATGCTGCCTAGTGGCAGATTCAGTAGGCTGTTATTTTCCTTATAACTGATACTTAGGGCATTCAATAGTTGTCTTTTTATATTCACTAACAGGTATTGAATTCAATTCCTTGGTTATTGCTTTCATCGAACTCGTGACAATCAAGTCTATCTTTAGGATAGCTGAACAACCAAAAATCTGAAGGAGTAAGGTTAGGCGAACATAATACATAACTTTTGATTTTATCTTCTTTTGAAGATAATTGATAACAATATATTTTACATGTCGTTTTGTATTGTCATGCTGGAACTTGATACTATTTATTTCTGATGATGATCGTTTCTTCAATAACTTTTTAACTGAACATTTTAAATATTCATCACGATTATAGATGCTTCAGAAGGAACTTGATGGATAAATAAGAGTCCAATAACCATAGAGAAGGATAACAAACATTGTTTTTTTTTTCTCGAACAGTTGTCTTTTGATAATGATCGGAGGACTTTCTCCTTTTGCTATGGACGATTTTGATTTAATCTTTCAATGGTAAATTCAAGTCTTATCGCCGGTGATAATATGACTTGCAAACTTCTCTAAATTTTCAACACATACGTTCATACGTCGTTCTTGTATCAGTTCATAGGGCAAGAATCATCTTCTATTGACTCTTCCGCCCAATTGAAAGATCATGAACCTAGCAGGCAACTGTACGATATGATGCATAATATTGACCTTAAGCAATGATCAATTCGTCATGGATTTCAATAAGAGTTAAACTCAATAACGAGCTAGTTTTTATGTAGTGCTGAATACACTGTTTATCTATCTGAAAATGTAGATGCAAAAAACAGTAATTGAATATTAGATATAATAGAGACTTGCGAAGATTCCAATTCATAGTGTGCAGAGTAGTCAAAAATTAATGCGGGAATCTTTGATTGGAAATAACTTTTGATAGGAATAAGATAGAGAGCTGCGTTTTTCACCGCTCGAAAGAGAAGATGAGGACGTATCGAACTGTCTAATATAAGATAAGTTGACATAACTTTTCAAGGACTTAAACCGACGTTTTTGAAAACTAACTTACTCCGTAAGGTAACTACTGTGAATTTCTTATGATGAGGTGTGCATTCGAACCGCTAGTCGAAAACCTATAAAGCTGTGTAAAGACCAGACTTTGAGAGTTACTCTTTCCGAACTTCTCAGGAAATTTCTCTATTCATCTCTGTGAAAAGATCACTTTTCTTTTTGCATTTTTCTTATTTTATAAGAAACCATTTTACGGCAATGTTTTTAGAAAATTGATTAAAAAAACTCTAGAAAACATCTTAGAATAACCTGTAATATAGGATTCAATGCATCTTCATCCCCTCTTTTGAACGGCGAAGACCGCAGCTCTCTATCTTGCTCCTATCAAAAGTTATTTGCAAGCAAAGACTACCGAGTTGTTTTTGAACCACCCTGTAGTATATGACTATTGTAGCTACTAGAAAAAGCTTAAAAATAATTAGCATGAAATCTTAGACTAGCGTTGTCAGAACTTTTTGGACGCCCTAACTACTAACTGTAGATCTGGATAGAAGATCATCATAACAGAGAATTCTTCCGATCAATTGGTTAAACTTTCCCAATATATACTAACAAAACGACAAGAGCAAGTGTATGCTACAACGTAGTCAGCATGCTATCGAACGAATGGTTCACAACAAACAGCCGTTAGTAACTTGTTTATGGTCATTTTATGGCGGGTACTCAGTGGACATTAGGTGAAAAAAAATGAGAGTAAGCTTTTTCGAGATTTGAATAGTAACTTATACATTTTGATTAACGACAAGTTTTTTTTGGTAAAACGAATCTCACAGAAGTATTTAGAGAGAAAAATAAAGACATATTTGGATGAAAAGCTGCATCGAGTGATATATCATTTATCAATTTTTAAAATAAATTTTTTTTTTCACAGGAGTTGAGGATAAGAGTCCACCACAAAGATTTTCCATCATAAATGGTATTTTTTCATCAATCTTATTTTTGAGTACAAGAACCTAATATTTCTATGGGAAAAAAAAATCGTTTTTGACATGCTCGATGGAAATTGACCATTATGTGGTGATACAGAGGTTTGAACACAGTATTTTGTGCATACGTGTCGAACAACAAACCTACTATTTAATTTCAATCGGAATGATTTCTAGAAATTTCATACGAGAAAGAAAATTTAATCAGATCTATCATCATATGGCGTCCTCTATAAAAAAAAAATCAAAACTATATTACAACTTTTCTTTGATGGTCAATAACAAGTACCAATCGAATTAAACATCACTTAGACTTCTATTCCTCTCTAAAATATTTATTATTTTTAGATATTTCTTCAATCATGTTATCTACATCATCACAACAACAACAACATCTTTTTTCAAGTTATCGTACATTAGGTTTAGTTACTAATCATGTACCATGTATACTACGTATACATCAACGTCATTCATCTCATTTACTTTTAACAGCTATAGGAAAAGTATTTCATGCTTATCGTCTTAATACACTTCAAGTCTTACTTGTTAGTGATGCTCATCCTGATGATATACAAGTACTTGCATCAAATAGTCGTTTAGTATTTGTTGCTGTTAATTCAACAATATATATTTATCGTCGTGTATATCATCTATATCAAACATTAACTGAACATAACGGTAATATTCAACATTTATTACCATTTGGTGATGATCATATAATTAGTGTTGATGAATCTAATACATTACGTGTATGGGATATACAATCAGCAAGTATTTATTTATTACTTGAATTTAATATAAAAAATTTTCATATAACAAATTTACTTCATCCAGCAACATATGTTAATAAATTACTTTTAGCATCACGTCAAGGTACAATGCAATTATGGAATATAAAATCAAATAAATTATTACATGAATTTTTTTCGCATGATACAAATTTAAATTCAATAACTATACTAACACAATCAACTGTTGTTGATGTTATTGCTATTGGTTATATTAATGGACAAATACGTTTACATAATATACGTTATAATGAAACACTTGTAACATTTACACAAGATTTTAATGGACCAATAACATCAATTTCATTTCGTCTTGATAATATTCCACATATGGCAACTGGATCATCAACAGGACATATTTGTATATGGAATTTAGATACATGTCATTTAATAAGTCAAGTACGACATGCACACAAACAATGTTCAATAGCTGCACTTCATTATATACCAGGTGAACCATTATTAATATCAAATGGTAATGATAATGCATTACGTGAATGGATATTTGATATGCCTGATGGAAGATCATGCCGTTTATATCGTGAACGTTGTGGACATTCAAAATCACCACGTTGTATTCGTTTTCATGATAATGATATAATAATTTCAGCAGGTAATGATGGACGTTTACGAACATTTCATACAATACTTGATAATCTATCACGATGTTTTGGTCGTACAACACGTTATAAATGGGAAATGGAATTAAATGAAAATGAAAATGATGAAGATAATGAAGATTCTGAACAACCATTACCTATTATTGATTTACGTTGTGAAACAATTAAAGAAAATGATTGGGACGGTATTATTGCTATACATGAAAAACGACGACGTATATCAGCTTGGAATTATATTCGTGCAACACGTAGTCAACATCGTTTTGAACATGAAAGATTTGCAACAAAAATTTATCATAATATAGAAGTTAATGCAACTTGTTGTGATATAAGTCCATGTGGAAATTTTTGTGTTATTGGATATTCAACTGGACATATTGATATGTTTAATATGCAATCGGGACTTTATCGTGGATCATTTGGTAAGAAATATTTGAAAGAAATTTAATTCTTAAGATATGAAACTTTCAAGTAAATTTACTTAGAAATCATTTAAATCGATATGCTATTGAAAGATCGAAAGGAAAAATATCAAAAATTTCAACTAACAAAATATTCTTGATTTTTTCCTATAATACTAAAATTATAATATAGATTATACACAAGTCAAGAAATTAAAACAAAAGAAATAATAGTGTGATTTTTGTTTGCATTTATCAATTATAAATGAAAAATCATCTAAATATTCCATTACATTTATAAGATCATCATAATATCGTTCATCAAGATTATCTATACGATGTTGAATAGCAATTTAGGTCGGCCGTAGAAAGGACGAAAAAAGAAATGTCGAAACTTGAAAAAAAAAACAATGTATCCATGGTGGCTGTAGATGAAGAAAAGACTAGAACCCACAGCTACATCCTAGACGCCTTATGCCAAAAAATAAAGAATGTCTTGTTAGTTGAAATTTTCGATATTTGTCCGTTTGACCTTTCGGCGGTCAATCTTTTAATCCATATACATAGGTAAAGTTTTAGATCGAAACATGATCATTCGATTATTCTGAATATCTTGCAATCGATCACAAGGTCAATATGAGAATAAAATTTTTCTCAGATTCATACATAATTATAACATGAATTCAAAGAAAATTCGACAGTTGAGAATATGTTCTTGTTTTAATTTCTTTATAATTACTAAGAATCAATTTCTTTAAATTATCGACTTTTCGAATAATATCCCAACTCTTGATCTAGATTTCGTAAAACATGATCTAAAAGAAAAATATTGAAGTATAGAAGTAAAATTTTGGATCTCACTCCAAGTTACAAACGTTGATAAATAACGTCTCGTTATAATAAATGAACTACTTCCTTAATGCATTTCCGGAGGATTAAGTAAAAGGATGGTGAAGAAATGTTTTTTTTTCAATCTAAAATCTTCTTAGTTCTTCCAAGTCAAGAAATGCAAACCAGAAACTGGAAGGATGAAACCCCGTGATCAAATCTGATCATCGAAATCTTGCTTTCAAGTTCCTACCATTTTTCTCGAATGTTTCATTAGAAATCAAAATCTTTCTTCTTTCTAGATGATGGTCCAATAAAATATTCTTCAAAAAATCCTCATAAACGTTTAAAATCATCTCCATATGCTACAGCACATTCATTTGCTTTATGTGGTGTTTCATTTGATTCACTTAATACTCGTCTTATATCATGTGATATAAATGGAAATATTAAATTATGGCGTTTAAAAACCAAAATTCTTCTATCATCAACATCAATTATTAATAATGATAATTCAAATACAAATATTCATATAACTAAAATGATTGTACATCGTGATAGTGGTCTTATATCAATTGCATTTAATAATTATACAATAAAAATTTATGATTATGATACAATGAATTTTAAATGTATACGTACATTTATAAATAATACTCATACAAATGAAATAACATCATTAATATTTATGCCTGATGCACGTTGGTTATTAACAACATCATTAGATAAAACTATGCGTATATGGGATATACCAAGTGGACAATTAATTGATATTATGGAATTTGATCAAGCTATAACAACATTAGCTATTAGTCCAAATGGTGATATGTTAGCAACAGGACATACAGATGCATTAGGTATTTATTTATGGTCAAATCGAATAATGTATGATAATTCAATAATAAATTTAACAACAAATGATATTGATAATCAACAATTATTAGTTGGTGATTTTCAATCACCAGAACAAATATCAAAAAATTTAATAACACTTTCATCATTACCAGAATCAAAATGGAAAAATTTATTAGTACTTGATACAATACGTCAACGTAATAAACCAAAAGAATCAATAAATATACCTAAACAAGCACCATTTTTTTTACCAACTGTATCAAATTTACGTGGATTTGTTTTTATTAATCCTGATGATGAAAATAAATTAAAAATTAAAGATAAAAAACAAACACATATTCATCAAACACAACAATTTCTTTATCAATCATCATTAACAAATTTACTTGATCATCAAAAAACAAATTCAACATTATCAAATGATATTATTCATCTTTTAAAAGATTTTGGTATGGCTAAAATTGAATATGAATTAAGATGTTTATCACCTGAACAAGGTGGTTCATTAGAACGTATGTTAATATTTATTGATATACTTAATCAAGAATTTGATAATAAACAAAATTATGATTTAATTAGTTCATATTTAGCACTTTTTATACAATTACATGGAACAAATCTTATATGGAAAAATGATAAATTAATAGAAAAAATTCAAAATATTCAATTAAAACAAAAAGAAACATGGCTTAATATACAACGACAATTGAATACATCAATTGCACTGGTTAAGTATATTAAAAGTGTTACTACAATTTAAATGTAGTATTACAGTTTATTTGTTTTTGTTATTAAACATTTTTTTGTTATTCTTTTGAGAAATAAAAATAAACTTTTTTTTTGTTTTGTTTTGGACACATTATTCTATGTATGCTTCCAGATATGCTCTCAAATACTATTTCATTGGTGACTGGAGCAGGTAGTGGTATTGGCAAAAGAGTGGCACAGTTATTTGCTGTCGAAGGAAGTCGCGTTTGTGGCGTGTGAGTTTTAAATATAGTAAAAAAAAAACAATAATAATCATAATTAGAAAATATTTTTCATATGATAAATAATTTAAAAATCCTAATATCTTTCATTGTCTATAAAACGAAATGATTAAATTGAAAATATTATTAGTATAATTTTATTTTTATTAGAAAAGACAAAAGATAAAAAACATTTATTTTAGAGATGTTAAATCATTCGATTCATCATGTGAACATTCATTTATAAGTGATATAAGTCAACGTCAATCTGTTATAAAATTAGCTGATGAAATTTTTTCTCGTAATCAAACATATCCAACAATAATTGTTAATGCAGCTGGTATAACACGAGATGCATTATTATTAAAAATGCGTGAGGAAGATTTTGATGATGTTATTCGTATTAATTTAAAAGGAACATTTCTTATCAATCAAATTTTTTCACAACGTTTATTGGCACAAAAATCTACAGACTTAAAAGCAAGTATTATAAATATATCAAGTATTGTTGGAAAATATGGTAATATTGGTCAATGTAATTATACAGCATCAAAAGCAGGTGTTGAATCAATGACAAAATCTATGGCAAAAGAATTAGGACATAATGGTATTCGTGTTAATACAATTTTACCAGGTTTTATTCAAACACCAATGACTGATAAAGTACCTGATAAAATTAAAGAAAAATTATTAAGTGCTATTCCAATGGGTCGTATGGGTACAACGGATGAAATAGCTCAAGTTTGTCTATTTCTTGCTTCAAATAAAATGAGTAGTTATGTTAATGGTGCAAGTATTGATATTACTGGAGGAATTTGAAGTTTACTTTTTAATTTAATTCTTTTACTAGATGTAATCTTTTTTTTTTTAATGAATAAAATATACGATAGAACTATGCAATAGCAGATCTAGGATTGATAAATAATGCTTTCTGATATGATATGATTTGTTTTTTCGAAGCAAGTGAAGTAGTGTTTTCATGCACTTACATTTCTTTGTATCATTTTAATGGAGAAAAAAAAAATTTCGAAATTCATGAATAAACAACTTCTATGAAAACAAAATAGCGAACAATAAAATCTAAAGAATCAAACGATGATTATATTTTCAAAAAAATTATCAATAATAGAAACAAGTTTTATATCTCAATTTCGATAAATATAAATCATAGAGAATGAATTTAATTTTGTTCTTGACATCATTGCCTTTTGAATTTGTACTCTTTTGAAAAAAAAATGTATTTCAGAATACATTTCAATCAAAACAAACATCTGAATGTGCCATTAAAGAAGACAATCTTGAAAATAAAAGTATTTATATTTCACTAACATATGTTCAGATTCTTCTCTAAAACACTTTGTGAAATGACTAGATCTTTTTTTAGAATAATATTTAAAAAGTTTAAGCAGGCATTGAGATTTGTCATTCTTCATAGAAGCTACAGTATTATTTTCGTATTTGCCACTGCTACTCGCCAGTAAGTTTTACTAAGTGTTGACATCTCAGATTAGAGCATGGCCAAGCGTTACGAAATTTCAGGTTTTTTTACATTGCAACATCTCTATCTCATTAATGATAAATGCAAACTCTCTGAAATTTTTATCATAAATACAGACCATTTAGATCTATTACCAAGAGAAATTTCATTGATTTTTGTTTCGTCAATGCTGAACTGTTCAAAAAAATACTGACCGTTACGGAATTTCATCTTTTTTTGACGTTCTAAAGTTGAAGATTTAAGGATCTGAAATTTTCAAATTACCATCATAAAAATATATCTTTTCTCTAATTCACGAGTAGTACAAAGATAGTTTTATTCTTACGACGAAAGCACATTAAAACTGTTGATCATCTTTCAGACAAAAATGCAATTTAACAAAGTTCAAAATCATAATTTTTTGGTAAATTAGTTAATAAATTTTCTTTTTTTATATGTATAATGACAGAAAAATGTGATTTATTATATCACTCATAACTAAGGTTTTTCAGAGTTTACAATATGTTTGATAATCTGTCGATAGTGTACTTTCGAATGCGAGGATGACCGTTAGCTGGCCATGCCCATTAACAACCAATCGTCACATCTTTCGACAGATTTACCAATTTCAAGATTTTATTGTTTTTTTATGAAAACATTTCTCTAAACAATCTTTTTCTTATCTCAGTTTGCAAGAGGATGGCGGTAACAGGATCATCATGCTATTGGATCCATCAGTAGAACTATTTAAAGAATGATCAACTTAAAATTTGTTCACATTGATTAATCTATTTATCGGTCAGATTTCAATAGATCAGAAAATTCAAAAATTTCATATCGATTCATTAATGATATTTGAAATTGTACGGATATTATTCAAAGATTTTTTCTTGTAACTCTAATATTTTGGATTCAAAAGTTAAATGGGAATGTGCTCTTTCAACATATGTTTAACGTTTTTTATATCGCTTTATAGACAGAGAAGAAAGTATATCATTAGAGCTTTTGGACAATTATATTTTTATAAAGGTGATACCTATGTACTTGCGAATGTACGCAATTGTAGAAGATTTTATTGATGCATTATTAATCAATTAATGGGAATGATTTCAGAAAACATTTATTTTCTTTTTTTGCACTCAGTTTTTTACAAATCTTTGCGAATAAAAATCATTTTTGTTAGATTTCTCAAAGACGAGTATATGATATTTCTATATATAGTACGAAAAAAAAGTGTCATTTTTCTCCTATAATCATGCTAACATTTCATTTTAACCCTGTAGGGACGAAGACTGTATATATATGGCCTTACAACTGAAACAGAAGGCCCAAGTTCTTAAGATATTTCCAAGTGAAATTATTGTATATTTCAATTCTTTTTCTATCAAATGGTTCGTTGTCATACTCTGTAGAAACAAGAGCGAGTGCCACAAGTATATAGTTTATAATTTCTGAATTATAACTTTATTTCGACAATACCTTTTACCTCTTCTCGAAAAAAAAGTCGGTCTCCAAAGGGTTAATAAACCTCTAGCATACATTATATTTTGAATTGTATCTTTCTGTAATATTCTTTATTAGATTTTAATATATTTAATAAATTCTTTTATATTGAAGTTCAAGAATATTGGAACTATGGAAGATGATAACTGACGATTGTATGAATTTATTTTCAGTAATCTGATACTCAAATTGAAAATACTGTTGTAGTTAAAAGAGAAAAATATTTCAAATTAATATTTAATCTATTTATGTACAAGAAAAGAAATAAAATCTATTTTAACAAACAATGATGTTGAAAATATGTTTGATAAGATTACTTGTTTAATCTCGATGTTCAGAACACTTCCAATCAAATTCAAAACGTTGTTGAATAGAAAAACGTGTGTTTTCATGTTATTATCTATATATTTATAGCAATTATAATACTATAGCTATTGTTTAATCTTAACAACGATTGTTTTGATTATTTTGTTTTGTGCGTAATATATATATATATAATTGTATGAATCTATGACTAATAATATGAAAATAAATCCCTATATACTCTTATTTTTCTTTTAAATTGTTGATTAATATTATGAGATTTTGTTAGAGTTAACAAAATATTTACATTTTACTGCGTAATTATTAATACGAAAGAATAACATAATGAATAAAATGTCCTTATTATTTTCTCTTTCTAGCTTTCTCTTCATTTTTGGGCGTGGCGTACTTTAGACAAAAAACGTTGTACAGATAATCAATGGTGCATTTAGATGACGCTCTCTCTTTTCATGTGATTATTTGATTGTGTACTTTAAAAACATTTACAATGACAAATTAATTTAAATAGAAGACGGTAACTTAGTAGAGTCAACGGAAAAAAAACCAAATTGTTTTGATTAATATCCCGTTCTTGTTTGTCCGATATGTCACGCTTGATTGATCCTTGTAATGTATTTTTAATAAGCTATGTATTAGATATGATCAATATTATTGATTCATCTCAAGGATGAGATTAATTTCCGTTTTCTTCCTTCTTAGTTTATCTCCTAGTTCAATATTGAATTTGAACCTATACCGTTACAACATGATTCTTTCGATTGTGTGTTAAAAATAACATCATACAAACTTTTTAGCACAAGAAAACAAATCATAGGTAAATTATAATATCATAGATAAAAAAAGTATATCAAACGAAGAAATACTCATATAGTGACGTATGTTTAAACATACATGTTTGCTATGATTTGTCATTAGCAAATGGAACGTTACGGAGTATGAGACAAAAATACGGTGCAATGAGTGCGTGCTTTCTTTTTTCTCTATCATTTCGATCATATAAATATACATATATTAAATCATATTACTTTATTTTTCTCTTTTGTTCGTATCTTTCTTACTTTAGACTATCACCTTGGATATGATGGTGAGTGTTTAGCATTGTATACATTATTTTTTTCTTTGCAATATTCACAATAATGATCATATAAGAACGTGATAAAATATGAAAGAAAAAAAAAACTGTATATGAATTTTCTTGATCTTTTTTGTTATTTTTAATAAACATGTTCTCAATATTGGATTTTTTTAGATATTGAAAAACTAGAAGTGAGCGTAAAAAGAATTATTTTTACTTACTAGACAGAAATCGGGCCGAGAAAAAAAAAACAGTTCTCAACTATTCAAGTGTGAATTGAGACAATATTTTGAAGAAGTACAACATGAATAGGTAATAGAATATATTCAAGACACTTACTCATGACAAGTAAAAACAAGCTTGTCATTCAACGTTGATCTCTCTTACATTACATATTATTTAATCTTTGAAAATTATTACTTTCGTGTACGTATATACATATGAAAAAAAAACACAATGATTTCTCATTATTTAAATTTAAATAAAATAGAAATTGAATAAAAGAAAAACTTCGAAAATTCTTCGGTTTTTTTGTTGTCGCTTTAAAAAGCGATTATTTCTTCTACTATAATCATTTTATTTTATTTTCAAAAAAACAAACAAAAACTAACAAACATATGAATAAACATAAATTATACTTCTTGTTCTCATGTTTAGCCAATATGCGTCTAATATTAGTACTCATCATTGCAAAAATGATCACCTGTATATAAAAACAAAATATTTGTGTATTGTCCTTTTAGCATATGTTTTTTATGCGTTGTTTTTTTCTATTTTTACATGATCTTTCTAAAAAAAACCGTACATTTATTAATCTATTTTATATAAAAAAAAAGATCTAGATAGAAAATTAAACTAAAGAAAAAATGGCACCGGATGAAAATGGAAAGCCTACATCCACATATGTGAATTTCCCAGAAAATCCGATTAAAACTTTAACAGTCGAAGAAATGTATGATAAAGAAAAATATGATTTATCATCAATGGAAGAAGGTGATGTATTTAAAATGCTTGAGTAAGTAAACAGATTTTTATAAATTTGTTAAGACTTTTTGTTTTTTTTTTTAACAAAAAAAATTTAGTGCAACTCGTGAAGGTTTAACAGATGAAGAAGTTAATGAACGTCTTGAAAAAGTAAAATAAATTCATTTTGATATTATTCTTTAATTGTAACTTTATTTTTCTAGTTTGGTCATAATCGACTTGATCATAAAGAAAAAAGTCCTATCCTAGAATTTCTTCTATTTATGTGGAATCCACTTTCTTGGGTTATGGAAGCAGCAGCTCTTGTTGCTATTGTTGTATCAAATGGTGGTGGTAAACCTCCAGATTGGGAAGATTTTGTCGGTATTGTTCTTCTTCTTCTTGCTAATTCAATTATTGGTTTTATTGAACAACGTAATGCTGGAAATGCTGTTAAAGCACTTATGGAATCATTAGCACCAGAAGCTAAAGTTAAACGAAATGGTGAATGGAAAACTATTGATGCAGCTGAACTTGTTCCCGGTGATATTATAAGTATTAAATTAGGTGATGTTATACCAGCTGATGGACGTTTAACTGGTAAACAAATTTATTTTGTTTATTTAATTATTATGATTTTTTTGTTTTTGTTTTGTATTCTTTAAGCTGCACATGGTGGAGTTTCAATAGATCAAGCAGCATTAACTGGTGAATCACTTCCTGTAAGTAAATCAAATGGTGATGAAATATTTTCGGGTTCAACATGTAAACAAGGTGAAGCAGAAGCTATTGGTAAATACAAAATAAAATTTTTTTTTTATTGAATAACCTAGTTGATAATTTAGTTATTGGTACTGGTCTTAATACTTTTTTTGGTCGAGCAGCTAAATTAGTCGGTGGTGCACATGATGAAATTGGTCATCTACAAATGATTCTTGCTCAAATTGGTAATTTTTGTATTATTTGTATTGGTATATTTGTAGTTGCTGAAATTCTTGTTATGTAGTATGTATTTAACTAAAAAAAGAAAAAAAAAATTCTTTTTTTTTTGATTTTTTTAATCTTCTTTTTCTATATGTTTTTAGTGCTGGTTTTCGTTATAATTATCGACGTGGTATTAATAATTTATTAGTACTTTTAATTGGTGGTATACCAATAGCTATGCCAACAGTTTTATCTGTAACATTAGCTATTGGTGCTAAACAATTATCTGAACATAAAGCTATTGTTACACATGTTACAGCTATTGAAGAACTTGCTGCTGTAACAATTTTATGTTCAGATAAAACAGGAACATTAACATTAAATAAACTTGTTATTGATAAACCAACTGTAAAGACATATTCGGATATAGAAATTGATGATATTATTCATTTTGCAGCTATTGCATCACGTACTGAAAATCAAGATGCTATGTAAGTTTGAAAAAGAAGCTTAATATACAACAAAAAAAAATATCCTAAATGATTTTTAATTTTTAGTGATACATGTATAACAGGAGCATTTGGTGATATTAAAAAAATACGAGAAGGTATTGAAGAATTAGAGTTTAAACCGTAAGTGCATACATGTTTTTTTTTACTTTTTCTGTTAGCAAAATCAAGACTATTTTCTTTTTAAGTTTTAATCCTACTGATAAACGTACTGAAATTACATATAAAATTACTAGTGATGGAAGTGTACATCGTATTAGCAAAGGTATGTCGCATGCTATATTAGATTTATGTACACGAGATAAAACAGATGAACAAATCACACAACTAAATGCTGATGTCGATGAATTTGCGCACCGAGGATTACGTGCATTAGCTGTTGCTATTGAAGAGGTACCAAATGGACAAGTTGATGGTGAAGGAAATGGTTTTAAATTAATTGGTCTTTTACCTATTTATGATCCACCACGTTCCGATACAAAAGAAACAATTGAACGTGCTCTCGAATTAGGTAAAAACAAAAAAAAATAATAATAATAATAATAATAAGTTTGTTTTTATTTTTAATTTATTGAAATAAATAGGTGTTAAAGTAAAAATGATTACTGGTGATCAATTAGCTATAGCTAAAGAAACTGGACGACGTCTTGGTATGGGTGATAATATGTTTTTATCGAAAACACTTAAAGATGGACCACCATCTGATTCTGGTTATAAAGATGTTGATGATTTAGTTTTACATGCTGATGGTTTTGCTGGTGTTTATCCTGAACATAAATATGAAATTGTTGAAAAATTACAAAATATGGGTCTTACGATTGCTATGACTGGTGATGGTGTTAATGATGCACCTGCACTTTCAAAAGCAAATGTTGGTGTTGCTGTTGCTGATGCATCTGATGCAGCACGTTCAGCTGCTGATATTGTTTTAACTGAACCTGGTCTATCAGTTATTATTGAAGGTAAAGAAAAAAGAAAAATTTTTTTTCTGAAAAATAAAATTTTTTTTTTTTATTAAAATACAAAATAGCTATTCTTGGATCAAGACAAATTTTTCAACGTATGAGAAATTATTCAATTTATACATGTTCAATAACAATTCGTATATTAGTTGGATTTTCTGTTTTGATTTTTGCTTTTAAATTTGATTTTCCATCATTTATGGTAAAAAAAAAATTAAATTAAAAATTTTATTTTCTTTCATAAAGATTTTTGATTAATTATTTATTTTTAGGTACTTATACTTGCTGTACTTAATGATGGTACAATAATGACTATTTCAAAAGATCGTGTTAAACCATCACCATATCCAAATAGTTGGAATTTAAATGAAATTTTTACATATGCTATTGTTTATGGTATATATTTAGCTTTATCAACAGTTGTATTTTTTGCTGTTATTGTTAAAACAACATTTTTTCATGATAAATTTGGTGTACCTATAATTCAATATCGTACATTAACAGATGACAATCCAGGATGGAATGATCCTATGTTACATTCAATTATTTATTTACAAGTGTCAACAATAAGTCAAGCATTAATATTTGTAACACGTTCACGCAGTTTCTTTTTTATGGAACGTCCATCAATAATATTAGTTTGTGCTTTTGCTCTAGCACAACTTGCTGCAACATTTATTGCTGTTTGGGCTAATTGGGGTTTTACAGATATAAAGGGTTGTGGTTGGTCATGGGCTGGTATTGTTTGGGTATGGAACATTATTTGGTTTTTTCCACTTGATTTTCTTAAAGTAGAAAAAAAAGCAAAAAAAAATTCAGTTTTTTGAAGATTTATTATTTTATTACTAGTTTGCACTTCGTGCTTACTTTGATCCAAAACAAAAACAAGCTATTGAAGAAATATTAACACCTGAACCATCGACAGAAGCACAAATAACTCGTCGTAAAAGTACAATTGCTGGTGGTGCACCTGGTACACCATCACGTCGTTCTACGGTAGCTGGTGAAGGTGCACGTTCAAGACGTGAAACATTGGCTCAAGTAACTGGAAAATATTATGCACCACATATACAAGGTTTATCAACATCACATCATCATCGTAATTTTGCTCGAATGCTGAAAATTAAAGGTGCTGATGCACCAGTAATTTCAATTGATCGTGATGAACTCCGACGTTTTTCACTCGTACAGGTAAAAATAGACTTGATTTTTTTTTTATTATGATGCACTGTTAAATGTTTCTTTATAGGCTCATCATGCTTCTAAATTGCTCAAACCACAAGATGCGAATGTTAATCGTAGAATTACTACTGCTGTGTAAAAAAAAACAAAAGTATATTGAATATTATTTATATAAACCGATCTCTTCTCGATCTCCCTATATACATGCATAAATACAATCATGCCCTTTCCTTTTTTTTTTGTTGTCTTGCTTCTTTTCTGTTTTTGTTACTCCAGATTTTGACACATATTTATGTTGTATTTTTGTGAATAGTTTTCTTGTAATTTGTCATTTTATGTCTTTTTTTCGTATACGTTCAATAAGAATTTGATCGCCATGAACATGTGAATTATCGATATTCATATCGGATGTTTGAATATTTACATTATCACCACATGATTGACTAACTTGTTTGAATTTTTCATTTATTATATTTGATGTTTGTTGAATTTTTTTTGAATTAATATTTTCTATAGTTGAAACATTCAATGTTACATTTCGAATCATTTGTTCAAGTTCAATATCATAATCATCATCAGGTTTATCCATATTAAACATATCTTCACAATTAATATTTTTTGCATGTGCTGCTTTTTCAACTTTAATCTCAAGTTGAATAACTTTATTACGCATTTGTTCTAATTCATCATCAATTTCATTATTTATTGTTTCATGATCAATTTTAATTAAAAGTTTTTTCATTAAACGTACAAATTTTATTTGTTCTTGTAATCGTTCTTTATATCGAATAGAAGCTAATTCTTTACGTGTTCGTTTATCTATTGATGATTCACGATAAATTCTATTTAATGGAAATTCTTGACCTGTACGAATGTAATTTTCATATTTTAATGCTTCACGACCTTCACGTTGTTTTGGAAGTGAATTCAATGCTGCTAATAATCCAAACATGATTATTTTTAGCGCCCAAAAAACAAAACAAAAAGAAAAGTATAAAACTATTCTAGATTTATGTGAATTAAATATGATACAGTTTGTTTATATGGTATGTTTTAAATATACAAAAATAATTCTTCTCTCCTTCTTTTCCTTCTTTTGGGTCAGTACGTTTCAATTTGAAACAAACAAATTTTCTAAATATTATTCTGATATCATAATTCATTCTTGAAATAAAAATAACTTTTAATTTTTGATGAAAGATAGCATACCTACATGTCTATTCCTGATGCACTTAAAACATTTTATTATTTTTTTCTCATCATAAAATGTACTTTGTATTTTAAGTAATACGATTACAAAAGACATATGCTTCTCATTAACTATAAAATTCAGTTAGGAAAAAAAAAATAATTTTTTTTATCTAGATCATTCTATCGATAGAATTCGCTGAATTCAAAAACGAATGAGTTATAAAAACAATATTTTTTTATTGCGTCTTTACTATTTCAATATATCAGACTCATGCTTCCGAATGACGTCATATCTACCTACATAATAGACGTAGTGATGGGTGGAGGTTATTTGAGAATTAAACACATATGTCAAAGTCCGTAAAAGAACTAAAGATACCTTTATAATATAAACTAACCTTAAAAAAACATTGACGCTTTTTCTTTTTATTCACCTAGTTTAAAGAACAGGTCAAATAAATTTATAGTAATAATATAAATTTTCTTTGTTGCTTCCAACAGCATAGAAACTAAGTTTGTTGTCATGAGAAAAAAAAATAATAGGAAAATGATAAGAAACTCCGTCCCAGATTTTTGTCTAGAAAAACAGTACAATATAGATAAAATGCAAGTTATTATTATGATCTAAATATTAGACAGAAAAAAAAAAATTTATAATTAGTTATCATCAAGAAAAGAAGATATAAAATAGTCGTTGTTTGATTTTATTTTATACGATCTAGTATTCAAATGATCGTATGATACAAAGGAAATCCTATTTATGTATGATATATCTTGAATCTGGTGAGAACATAATTAAAAACATAAATTATATTGATTTTTCTAGTACAATATTTAAATAGTTTTACATTTAAAGAGCTTTCTCTTTATACAAAAGTCCAAGGTTGTTCAAATAATAAAAAATAATCAAATATCTTGAAAAATACGAGAAGATTATAAATGTCGTGTAGATGTTTTTAATAAGATTAAAACGTTAATAATGATAAAAAATTCATGCTAATCGTTTCTACTTTATCCTTATATTTAAATTCAATTTTTATAGCAATTATATCATGGTCTTTTTAAATATTGAGTGCTTTTTCATGAATCCATAAGTTTTCTATTTATTTTTGTCGTATATTATATAAGGTCTATTAAATTTTCTTTATTGACTCCTGTGCTTCATCACGCATAGAGCAGACAGCACGTTACGTTTTTTTTTCTTATTTTATCCAAACTCTAACTAATCATGATGACGATGAAGTGCGATAAGCAAGCAAAACGCATAAAAAAAAAACGAAAGTCAGCTGGCTGATATTAAACGCAGAATCACGCATCTATCTTAAAAGACTAATAAATTATCAAACGTAAATATAAATAGTCAAAAAAAAAAACACACTCAGAAATAGTGACTATTCCTAGATAAATCTTTTTTACTTCTTTTTTTCTATATATTTGTAACTATATTTCCAAATTTTTATAAATCCTTCCTCATGAAGCAAAGAGTAAGATTAAATGCAATGAGTGACTTCGGTAAGTACGTTTATACATTTTTTAATATGTGTTATAATCATGAGTTCAGAACTACTGTGAATGCAGTATGTTATATTTTGTAGATTTATTAGAATTTTGAAAAATTGTGATTACTATTTTCATTCTATCACTGTTTTCATCTGCATATATACACAAACATAACAAACAAATACCATATAACCAACTTTGAGATAGTTCAGAAACAAATTTCATATTCAAAAAAAAACAGAATTCAAGCAAAAATAGGAAACATGAGATTGTTCTATTTTCTCAAGAAGAAATCAAAACAATTTTTATGTCATACGGGAATTGAAAAGTTTTCATCGGGTAAGATTATTTCGTTTTTATCTTTTAAACTAGAATAAAAATGACTACATATACAAGTCGTATAGTCTGTCTATCTGTTCCGATTAGTTCTCACGTTTTCTTTTGCTCTTGAAACGTGTTTATACACACTAGTGTATTATATCGAAGCCTGATATTAATGATAATGTTGATGTGTTATTCTGTTTTGTTTCTTTTGTGCACGTACAGTCATTTATTCTTCACTAATAATAAATTATAGGGCTTATTCGATGATGAATCTACTATTGAAACTCAGCAAGACATATTACTCCCCATCTATTAGAACACAGCTGAGCATCGAAAGAAAAGAAAGGAAAGAAAAATAACTATTCAATTCTATGTACATAATGAAAGGAAAGAAAAGAAGAAAAAGACTTTTCTTTCCTTTTCTTTGCCTGTCCGTAGAAAAAAAACGACCGAAGAAGAAGAAGATTTTCTCTTCTATTCATTTTCTCTGTCATCTCGTTCTCTGACACAACTTGCTCGCATCTGATCGCTTCGTCAGATAGATTAGTTTGAATACGCGTGATTACTGTTCACATCGCATTGCCGACTAACGAAAAGTATCCCGTTGTCGAAGTTAAAATTAATTCGACACGGGATAAGTATAAACGTACTCATGAAGGCATCGATAATGATTACAGTTTTTGACAACAACTAAAAATCATGGCACATCGAACTGCTTTACCGGAGACCAATCATGATGATGACTGTCAGCTTATATCTTTCACAAATAAATTACCCTATTATGTAAGACATCTATGCAAATCTACCAATAAAATCAAGACGCCACCCATAGCATCAAAATCCAGTAAGTACTTCAGGCAAAAAAAAAAAAACTTTCAGGCATTAGTTAATGATTTAAGTCAGAAAATAAAAATATTTTTTATTTTTGATATTAATCAACTGTTATTCTTTCTTTTTTTGACACTTGATTATATAGTTAAATTAAAAAGAGATTGATGATAGAATTGGAAGAGAAAAAAAAATGAAAAACTGTCGTCTACTATCAATAAGATATTTCTCAGAAAACAACTGAAAAACAAAGGGATTCCTATCATAAATATTTTTTTGTCTGTCTTGCTCTATAAATTGCCAGAATACACATTAGAAACTGTATATATATATATTTTTTTTATTAACTTCCAATCATCTATGTTGCATAGAATGATTGTTTGTCGTTATAATTCACTCACTCGATCAACAAAATCTCTTATTCTAATTCTCCCTTTTTCTTCTGTCTGAATAAACGCCTATATTTGTCTTTATGTACGCATAGGCAACATCTGTTTCTGTTGCTGTTTACTCGCTTAGTTTTGTTGTTGTTGAGTGTTTTGTACTAGTGATGGTCGTCACCTCCCTCTCCTCCCCCACATAACAACGATGTGAGTTTTGTCAAAATTATATTACTATGTTCTCTTTCTTTCTTTTCTTTTTTTGTCGTTCTTTCTTTTACACTTATGGCTAGAGACAGAAAATGTTCTTTGTCGTCTCGTAACCTTGAATGTCTTTTTCTCATACTTGATCGTTCGCTTGCACTGCGTATACCAAGGTTTTATAGCTAATTATATTTTTTTTTTCTATCATTTTTTTTCTTTTTTTTTTCGCATGTTCGATGACTTAGATCGTATATTGAACAACAAGGTTGTTATAAATAGTAGTAGTGATTGAAAGTGATGAAGATGATATTTCAAGGTCGCAGAAGTATAAGTAAATAATAAAAAAAAAAAAAACTAAAGCAGATGCAGAAATAGAAAGAAAGGAGAAGGAAGCTTTGTTTTTGTTGTTATTATTTTGCAGCTTTGGTTATGTCAACGTTCTTACAAGGCCGTTTTTTCTCGGCTCTTTTTTTTTTTTTTTTTTATTGTTGACAAGAGAAAAAAAATTGAACTAATGTATAATTCTGTTTGCGTGAGAAAAGTCTTTATGGCCTTGTGGTTAATATTAGTTCCAAGTAGAGAAAAAAAACGAAGGAAAAAAAAGAGAATAAAGCAAACAGATGATTCGTCTATCTCTTTCTGTTACTTAACAGTAATACTTCATCTAAATTACATGCGTTTGCATACGTGCGTATGTATGATTATTCTATCT